CAGCTTTCGCCTGACTGCCTCCTTCAAGACCTCAGTCTGCCGCACTGCGCCAAGCAATGGGCTAATGGTGTTGTATACCTAGCGGAGTCGACCTCCGCGAATGCACTGCTCAGATGATACCAGCAGTAGTCTATCTTTCGACAGGCAGACAAGGCGCACAACGACAAGTCCATGAGGTACACTGATTCTACAGACAGCCAGGAGCTAAGCATGAACAACATCCCAGCCGCACATCGAACTGACGAGAATTCAACCGGTAATTAGGATAATCCTGGGGCACTAAGGTATCTTTAATACGAGAAAGCCGAAGCACTGGGGCAAGCTTGAAACGGTCTTGCGCCAGCGTGAACTCGCCCTCACCGACGGCGCCACTAACGAAGGCAAGCTCTGTGCCGACAAGCGCCAAGGACTCGTCGCCTAGGCTGCACAGGTTGCTAGTTGACGCTCGTTAGAATCAGGATCCTACTAGTTATAAGGCTCAAGTCAGGGCCACCTATTTTCTGCAACTCAGTATGTTCCCAAACAATCGGGCCGGCTCAGGTGTTGGACCATAAGATGTTTTGTTGCAGGCTAGTACAGAAAACCCTCAATAAACATGAAACATGCAAGATCATGCAAGGGAGCCAGAGTGGGGAGAGAAATATGAAGAGAGAGAGAGAGAGAGAGAGAGAGAGAGACAGAGAGAGAGAGAGAGAGATCCCAAGCCGCGATCAAGTGGCTTTGAATGAGGATCCAGCTGCCGTCTCGCGAGAGCTCCCGCAAAACTCTCTCAACACGGCACCAGCCTGTTGGCAAGGTTTGTAAACAGGTTGGTTTGAAGCAGCCTGAGCACATGTAGAAATTTGAATGTAAGTGCGAGCTTGTGACTGCAGTGACCTACGTCTGACTCTTGCATGCATACGTTCATGCAAACAGGCATAACGAAGCTTGGTGCCAGTATGTATTGCCACATGCATGACTACCCTGACTTGTTACGCTCTACTTATTGTTTCATTTATGTTTTCTGTTCTTACTTCTGTCGTGCACTCGGCAGTTGCTTGCTTAATTCTTGCGTTGCATATCATTATCTGCAGACTTGTTGTCTTTCTTTATGTCTGTCCTTGCTGAAAGGTGGTATGCATGCATAGGCACACACATGCACAAACACGCGCACAAACACACACACACACATACACATTCCTCTATATATACATATGTATACACACACACACCTAAATATGTGTATATACATAAACATATAATTATATGTATATGTAAGTGTATATATATATAATCTATATCTATATATCTATATCTATATCTATATATATATATGTGTGTGTGTGTGTGTGCGTGTGCGTGTGCGTGCGCGTGCGCGTGCGCGTGCGTGTGTGTGTGTGTGTGGGTGTGGTGTGTGGCATTCTCGGCATGGCATGACATGACACGGGAATGCAAGGTTATCTTACAATGCATGTCTAGTATGTGTATAGTCTGTATACGCTACACACGCCATGCACATGGCATGTGGTGCAACAGGTCAAGGCATTGATGGAAACACACATTGACAGATCCAGTACGTTAATCCCAATGTGTGAATGCAGAGGGTTTATACCCTGGAGCATTGAACCACCGAAGCGTCTGCCAGGGATGGAAAGAACCAGCCGGAGTTGCTGAAGGCGACTGTAAACTGTGAGATTAAACGTCAGGCCAGGCATCGAGATTCTGAATGGCATCAGGAATTCAGTTAAGACGCACCGAAAAAACTTCAGACCTTTTCCTGTCAATACCGACCTAGGCAACGCAGGTACATTGTCTGCCTCTTTGAGCCCAGCTGATGGGGCCCAGGACCCTCCCGTCATCTGGGCAGTCAACCACCTCACATGGCTTTCAGGCCGTCGAGGATTGAACGACAGAAAAGAGTCGACAAAAGCAGCTTCCCAACACCACCAAGTCGCAGGGCAAAGCCCCAAAAAGTATGAGCACTCTGCGACGTAGGCCGGAATGCTGTCGATTGCATCAGCTAACTGACTCCCCGAGCGGCCCGCCCTCCGGCTCTCACCTGATTGCCCAAGCTGCGGGCAGGAGAAATAATCGTACCACAAATAAAGCAGCTTCGACTGGAAGTCGCGGAGTGGGAGAGACTGAGCCGTGGGTACATAGACTTCGGTGAGCGGATCCACGGGAACAGAGGTCAGCTTATGCAGAAGATGCCGCAGTGCATCCTGCAGAACCCTTAATTGCTTCAGCTCTGGATCCGGATGGTGCTTCGACAGCCACCTGGATAAACAGCACAATAGACAATAGCTTTAATGTCTGCCTGGCAGCCTACAGTCTTACACCCTTCAGCCGTTCGTAAGAAGTGGCGCATTCTCTGCCCTTTTATACCCCTCGAGCCAGGCCGCTGATGCGACACGAAAGCTGCGTTCCCCATGCTCCGGTCGAAGACAACGAGAGATCCCTGGGCCTCTGTGACCAGGACAGGGTGCAGTGTAGTTGGGTTGGTGTTTTGTGACAGAGTCGAGGTTTGGGGATGTGTGGGTTTCTGTGCCAATTGCCGCCGCCTCGCTTCACCCGAACTGCCCTGACTAGTGCTTGAGACATGCTCACATGCTGAGGGTTCGTGGTTGCCAAATCGCCCATGAAACCATCAACACACAGCCTTGGCCCTGCCTGAAGCTCCTCGTGCGGTTCTATTGTCGTCATCTTCAGCAGTGTCTCGACTGGAATGGTGAACATGGGGAACTCCATCGAAATGGCCTGGGGTGCGGGTGTTTTTGTTCATTGGGTTGCTTTAGCTTTCTCTCTCTCTCTCTCTACCAGGTGGGGAGAGCTGGGGTAAGTCTGTCCCCAACCCTCCGCGCGCGAGCGCGCACCTGCGGTCCACAGGTGTCTTTGCTTTCCCCCCATCACTGTGCGATAAGGGGCTCGGCTGTACGAAAGAAGTTGGCTTCCCCCTTGCCTCGTCGAAAAAGCAGCAACAGGATACAGTAGTTATTTCACTCCCCTAGGCAAGGGCTCAGCTGGACTGCAGGGCTCTGAGTTTTACTGTACTGTGTTCTCCCCCCGTCTTGGTGGGATCACACTCGCCAAACTGCACAAACTACACAAACTCACGCAACACGGAACTGAGGCTCGGACCGAAGAAAACTACTCTGGTGTGTTAGACTCAACTCAGATTCCCCTCCGGAGTGCATCAGGCAAAAGTTAGGGGAGACGACTGTTGACAGCTTTACGTCTACCCCCCTTCCCTAGCATGTTGGGCCATCGAAGGTCGTCTCCCCCGTGCTGCAGGCTCTGGTGCATTCTCCTTTGCAGTCTCACCTGTCGTCGGTTCACTCAGGTGACTGTCTAGACTGCTCTCCCCCCTTGTTGTGTTAGCTAGCTGGACATCAAGGAACTACATAGGCGGGACATGCACTGCACAAGTCAGTTTGGGGGGAGGGAGCAAGGTCTACTGTGCTACAGCAGTGGTGAGTTGCTCGGAGACCTATCCCCCAAGAAACGGCCCTTTCCAGTAGCACTGCACCCCTCAAAAGCCCCGGTCTCCCCTCAGTCACACACTGCATGTGCGCGTCTACGCCTGTGACTCCCCAGCCTCACAAGGTGGCTGCCCTCAGAGTCTGTACTAGCTTCTTCCTCACAGGAGCTCTCCCCGTTGGTGTCCTTGTCTCCCCCATCCTCGGGGACTGTATCGGGAAGCTCCCCCGCGGCGTCCATTGCAGGTGCTGGCAGCCATGGCACAGTAGTGGCTTGCGAGGCCACTGTTCCAGGTTGGTTTGGGAGTGTGGCCTCCCCCACGTCGGTGAGGTCCAGACTCCCCAGCACAGCTTCGGCTTGGCTTGCGGTTGTTCCCGCCAGTCCTCTCCACTTGCGGGTGGCTGTAGCATTGGTCTTCCCCCGCTGTTGGGGCTCATCCGCTTCCCCCTCCTGTTCTGCTCGTTCACGTAGAGGACGTTGTAGGGTGCCAGCTTGCTCCTCCTCCGGCTCGGTTTGCGTACCATTGTGCACAGCAATCGCCCCTCCAAATTGGGACTGTTGCCAGTAGTCCAGCGCGTCGTACAGGTGCACGGCCAACTGCAGCGCCTCCCCCGTCAGCGTGGGGATAACTGCCCTAAAGTCTTGGGCTGCGTCGTGGAGCAAGAGCGCTGCGCTGCTTTCTTGCCGCGTTCTGGCAGGGGCCTCTTGCGCTCCCCCTGCTAGCGCCAGTGCATCTGCAGGGTG